TAGAACGCGAAAACTGGTGTTCTACCATGACTCGAAACGACTTGAAACTTTTATATATATCAGATTTTACCCGTAGGGGATAAAACCAACAAAAACGGGAATAATCATCTACGAAAAGCAGAAAATAACGAAATCCACTAGTAGAGATTATAGGAGCCGGACCCCATATATCCGTGTAAATTAAATCTAACACATTGCTACTTGATAACGAAACTCTATTTAGGGGAAATCTTGAAGATTTGCCAAGTTGACATGAGGTGCACAACCCGCCCGGTATGGTTTTATTTGGTGTTACTGGACACAACTTTAGGACTTGATTCTGAACATGCGCATGGGGATGGCCCAACCTGCGGTGCCAGACAACTGGTGTAGCACGGGACGTGAGAAAAGTAAACTGAGACTGGGAAACGGGAAGCTTGTATAAACCGCCCGCTGTGGAACCTCTAAGCAGAACCGCCTGAGTGACCGAATAGGGTGTAGGGTGTATTACATAAGTCAGCCGACAGAAGATCGGTTAAACCAGTCGGTGCATGATCAAGGACTATAATACCCCAGTCTATCGTTTGGCCCCAGTTCGCAAGCCAGTTAGCACATTTATTTCATTCCCCCTCGATGTGGGTGAAGCGGATGTTATGAAACATAGCAGCAAGGTCGAGGCAGTCTTTGACTAAGGCTATCATGGTCTCGGACTGCTCCGCTTTGTTCATGATCGCTATAGTGGCCGCCGAATCCATATCTACCCAGATTTTATCTAACCCCATTCTCAGGCTAAGCCGTAGACCCTCCCTTAGGCCCCACAGCTCAGCCGAGAAGCTATTCGACGTACCAATCTTGATAGCAAAACCCTTAACCCAAAGACCGCCTTCATCCCTGATTATCCCCCCTGCACTAGCCATGTCGGTGCTGTTTTTCTTTGCTCCATTCGTGTTAAGCTTTACCCACCCTTGTTGCGGCGGTAACTACGTAACCCATTTCCAGAATCCATCGAAGGTCCTCCCATGCAGCGTGATGATCTCACAGGCTTCCTTCGCCAAAGAATGAGCAAGTCTTGCAACCTGGAGTGGTCATAATATCCAAAATTAAATGAGAAACCAAACAAGCTATTTTAATAGGTCATAATATCCAAAATTGACCTAAGGATCCAAAATTGAATGATATTTAATATAAAGACTATGAATTAATAATATGTTAAATCCATGCTTAAAACATGCTTTTCTAAATGCATAATTATAACAATAAAATTATAAAATTACTTAGCATGCTTGGATTTTGCATATATATATATATATATATATATATATATATATATATATATATATATATATATATATATATATATATATATAAACTCATAAATCCTTAAAAAAATTGTAATTACTTAAGGCAATTTAATGTAACTCTCAATATAAAATTAAAATTCAAATAGCAAATTCAATACTTAATATTTGCTCAAAATTGAATAATAATTTAATTGCGACAAGAATTACTATAATTGAACAAATAATGGCAATAATTCAATCACAAAAAATGTCATAATTAATCTGATCTCAATTTGAAATTTTTAATGCAAAAAATTTAAAGAATAATTAAAGGGCATTATTATTTCAAAACAAGCAATTACCATGTAATTTATTATTTGCCAAAAATAATTTACAATATTTGTAGACCCCTAACTATATTAATTAAGGTAAATATTAATATGGCAATATTAAATCCTAATATACTTGCCAAGCACCTTGTGCACAGATGGCACCTGGGTTGGACTCCCATATGGGAGATTGTGAGTTCGAGCCTCAGTGGAGGCGTTATTGGCTCTTTGTGTTTCAGTAGGTTAAGAAAGTAGTTATAAACAGAGGTACGCTGGTAAACCAGAATTACATGTAAAGCCGTCCGTCTTCATCCAGAGCTTCGTCGGTAAACCAGCTCCACCACCGCCGTCCGTCTTCATCCAGAGCTTCGCCGGTAAACCAGAAATACATGTAAAGCCATCCGGTATGCCGTCCGTCTTCATCCAGAGCTTCGCCGGTAAACCAGCTCCACCACCGCCGTCCGTCTTCATCCAGAGCTTCGTCGGTAAACCAAAATTACATGTAAAGCCATCCGGTACGCCGTCCGTCTTCATCCAGAGCTTCGCCGGTAAACCAGCTCCACCACAGAGCTTCGCCGGTAAACCAGCTCCACCACCGTCGTCCGTCTTCATCCAGAGCTTCGTCGGTAAACCAAAATTACATGTAAAGCCATCCGGTACGCTGTCCGTCTTCATCCAGAGCTTCGCTGGTAAACCAGCTCCACCACCGTCCCGTCCGTCTTCATCCAGAGCTTCGCTGGTAAACCAGCTCCACCACCGTCGTCCTTCTTCATCCAGAGCTTCGTCGGTAAACCAAAATTACATGTAAAGCCATCCGGTACGCTGTCCGTCTTCATCCAGAGCTTCGCTGGTAAACCAGCTCCACCACCGTCGTCCGTCTTCATCCAGAGCTTCGCCGGTAAACCATCGACAGCCATCCGGTACGCTATCCATCTTCATCCAGAGCTTCGCCGGTAAAGCAGCTCCACCACCGACAGCTATCCGGTACGCCGGTAAACCAGAATTACATGTAAAGCCATCCGGTACGCCGTCCGTCTTCATCCAGAGCTTCGCCGGTAAACCAGCTCTACCGTCCGTCTTCATCCAGAGCTTCGCCAGTAAACCAGCTCCACCACCGACAGCCATCCGGTACGTTGTCCGTCTTCATCCAGAGCTTCACCGGTAAAGCAGCTCCACCACCGACAGTTCGTCGACAGCCTTACGGAGATGAGAGCGCGAAGGAGGAGAGATAGAGATGACACCCAGAAGAGGAGAGGCCAATCGTCCATCGCCGAACTGAAGTGACGACCAGTACCGCCTTTGCCGTGCCACCTCGCCGACATCTCCTGAAGCGGAACTAGCGCTCGCCGTCGTATCTTATGGCGACCGGAGGGCAAACGATGCAAAACGACCGGGAAGAAATTTTATTTTTAATAACTTCTGTCGACCGTCGTTCCTCTGCCGCCTACAGCGGCAACGTCAAAGCCGGTGGACACTGCTTCGTCCAAAAATCCGGCGACGGTAGTCTTCCATAATCGGCGACAGAAGTTCAGCTCGTAGTCCAAAAAAATAAATGGCAACATCATAGCAACGACCGACAGAGAAAAAAATAATAATTTCGAGATTAAAAAAAAAACGAAATTACATTTCTTAATGCCAAAAAAAAAAAAATTAATAATAATAATAATTTTTAGCAATCCAAAATCATATACAAAAATCTTGATGTATATGAAAAATTAGAGTTAATACCATCTGAGGTCCTCCGAGTATGGTGGTGTCGTCATGTTTAGTCCTAAACTTTCAAATTGACCATCCGTGGTCCTCTAACTTTTGAATTCGACCCGCTATGATCCTTCCGTTACTTTAAGCCGTTTAGGCCGTGAAAAATAAGGATAAAAACGTCTTTTAACATTGTTTATCCGTTTAGGCCCTATGTCTGATCGATCTACCAATATAAACTTGATCTCTAGCTCATCTTTGGCTTCCGGCGTTTGTATAAGAACTACTATGAGCACGAGGATCTTCACTTCAATTTTCGTCCAACTTATTAGTGCCCAATTTTATATATTAATCTCTCTCTCACACATATGCACAAAAGAGAAGAAATCCAACTCTGCAAGATAAACTTGAAATCATTTAGAAAAAGAAATCTTAAATTGAAACGTTAATTAAACATCAAACCAGAAAATATTAATAGCACATATGGATGTATTCAAGAATTCTTGAAAAAAGGCATACAAATAAAAAACAGGAAAATAAGATCAGTAAAAGAATTAGGAAAAAATGATTACTTCAAAGAAAGAAAAATTCCTCTCAAGCTCGGCGGTCATAGGATCGATTGATGCAATGCATATTCTGATTCGGTTTACGCCGGAGCTTGATTGCAAGAAGATTTTGACGAAGAATCAAGTGGTCATTGAGGGAAAGCTGGTCTAATTTGTCCGGTGGGTGCCAGACTGGAATACGCAAAGAGACTTCCTAGTAGCTGTGATATGGATATATGCTTTTATCTAAGCTACCTTATCATTTGTTTGATGCTCAGATTATTTGTCTGATTTGTGCGCCGGTGGGAAAATTGTTGACGTTGGATTCTTCTACGGTGAGGCGAAGAAGACCAAGCGTAGCCAAGGCTAAGGTAGAAATTAATTTTTTGAAACCATTAATTGATAAGGTTTGGATTGAAATTGTGGCGGAGGAAGGAGGAACTCAGGGATTCTGGCAAAGATTAGAGTATGAGTTGGTTCCCTTTTACTGCTCTATATGCAGTCGCCACCAATCGAAAGTTTATAAAAGGGGGAAGAATTTGAGGAAGGTAGCAGGGGTGGCGCCGGAGGCTGGTGATGCAACGGCGGAGGCAGGCGGTGAGTCAGGGGCTGCGAATAATTGGACAAACAATGTCAAAAGACTATTATATCCTTAGATTTCACGGTTTGAGACGGAAAAGTTTAACGGAAGGACCACCGCAGGTCAATTTTGAAACTCGGAGGATCACGAATGGTCGATTTGAAAGTTTAGGACTATAGGTAGCAGAACCACTAAACTCGAGGGACCTTGGCTGGTATTTACTCTGAAAAATTAATATTGTTTTTAGGCAAAACAGTCAACCAGGCAGAGATTGATAAAGGCTCTGATACCAAATGTGAGATCTAAATAGGATGTAACTGTACATAGTATAATCTACGAGAAACCTAACCTCGTAGTAGCGGAAGCGGAAGCACGGTAGATCTCCCCGCCATGGTTGATATCCTGTTGTGTTGCCTCTTGAACGGTAGACCTGCAGGGTGTTAGCCGTTTTGTCTCATACTTGACTCAGAAACCTCGATGGTGTATTGGTATTTTCTGAGCAGTATGAGTACCATATATTTATGCTATATAATGAATATGTCATGTATCCAATCAATATAGACTTTATGTAGGCATATTGGTAGAATACAGACTTAACCTAATGTCCAGTCCAACCAATTATTTAATGGGCCTAGTCTACTTGCACTACATAATTAAGGCCCATATAGGAAAGTCTTACAATATAGTCCTCTTGAAAACACCTAAATAATAGAAAACAAAGCTTAAGATGATGAGGTAAGAAGGTTTAACTCAAATGAATGATGCTCTCACACAGCTGATTAGAATGATCTAAACTTAATGTAGGAATATTTTTTGCAATACTCTCCGATTCATTAATTGTGTTTTTTTTTTTTTTTTGTGAGTTTGAGAGGAGGCCAGCAGCCATCGTAATTGCAAGAGGTAATCCTTTTTACTCCTCGAAAGGTTGGTTCTTCTTACTCTTTGACCTTTGTGACCTTTTGGTTACGAATGATTGTCGTTACCATTCTATCTTGCAACACTTTGAAAGGTAGACCCTTCCACCTCTCGGTCTTTGCAAACTTTTGGTCGTGATATCTTCTACTCTTCGAATCTTCAGTCTTTTGATCTTTATCTCGGACCATTCGAGAGTCAACCACTCGGGTAGTCGGGTTACTCTTCAAATCTATTATTAAGACTGTACTCTCGGGTGGATAGAATCGTTACTACTCAAGGTACCATTCAGTTAGTTCGAATGTTTGAGCAAAATTATCCTAAGTCTAAAAAAATAAAATAATTGTGGTCTAAAATTCCTATCATTTCGTATCATCAAAATCTAATAACAAATGTTCCTAAGAGATGGCCAGACTGAAAGAGTAAATAGGTGTATTGAGACTTATTTGAGATGTATGGTATTCCAAAAACCTACATCATGGGATAAATGTGAGATTTAAATATACAGATATAATCTACGAGAAACTTAACTTGTAATAGTGGAAGCGGAAGCACTGTAGATCTCCAGCCATGGTTGATATCCTGTTGTGTTGCCTCTTGAACGGTAGACCTGCAAAATAGGGTTAGCCATTTTGTCTCATACTTGACTCCGAATCCTAGATGGTGTACTGGTATTTTCTGAGCAGTATGAGTACCATATAATAATCATGTATCTTGTATCCCATCAATACAAGTTTTATATAGGCACATTGGTGGAATACAAACTTAAACCTAAATGTCCAGTCCAACAAATTACTTAACCGGCCTAGTCCACATGCACCATATAAGTAAGACCCATAATATATAATATATATTGTATTGGAAAGTCTTACAATAAATTGTTAGATATGGTTGAATATTGGTATAATACCAACCTCCACTCATCTCTGCAATGTACTCCATTTCAAGCTCTCTATAGCTACAAACCACCTATTTTGGCTTTAGGGAATGGGGGAATGGGCAGAGAGCTGAGGGAAATGAATGGTTAGTTGAAAGGGACGCCTTACTAGCATTACTGAAGGTTAATTTGAGATTGGCTCAACACAGGATAAACCAGCAAGCAGATAAGAAAATAAATTTTATGGCCCTTATCAGGCGATTGTGAGGATAGGAGCAGTTGCGCATTACCTAAAGGCTCACAGATCTTGGCAACTAAACCAAAATGTTATGTTCCCGAGTGAAAGCACGCCTCAATGGGCAAAAGAGGGGTGTCGTAGCAGGCACTGGTTTGCCTATGGTGGAAGAAACGTTTGGATAAGGAATGCAGAAGAGATAGGAAAGGATTTTATGGAGTTCCCTTCCCCTTGTTTCTTGTAAATTCTGGCTTGATTATTTAGCAATAATGCAAACGTCTCTTCTAGAGTTACACTTTCCTAATGTTTACAAAGGAAACTAATTGAGGAGGCAGCCACTTGGGAGGACTACCACCATGTTGTGCAGCAGTTTCCTAACTTTGATCCTTGGGGACAAGGATCTGGTAGATGGGAAGGTGATGTAATGGTTATGGAAGCTGGAAGTGATAATAAATATGTATGGAATTTTCATGTATGCTTGGTTATATCAATGAACATCCAATTTCTTCCCTAAAATTCTCTCTTCTTTTATCCATATTTCTCTCTACTGTAATCTGTTCTTCTACTTCTTCTCTACTAATTTTCCAGGGGCATTACACTATGCTGGGCTGTCTGTACGTGGTTTGGCATTTGCTGCAAGTACTCTCTTTCTCCTTCTTCATATAGTGGCAGATATCTCAGTACAGTGTTGCTTCTGATTGCAAAAGTGAAAATCCTTTTTTTTCTTTTCCCTATTGGGACATGAATGAAGCAATAGGAGAGGGGGAGGCAGTTAAAGGAAATAAATGGTTTAAAAGACTGGAACATTAAACTTCAGTTGATTTTAATGTAGTTCTTGGTTACTTCTTTTTCTTTCAAGCTTCAGTCTGAGTTCTACTTAATGTTTCAATGTAACTTTAACACACTTGGAATGCACAAGAGCAAATTCAAAAACATCATTAAACTTTAAGTAAATCCAAAAATATTGGTCTAATACATATTAATAAGAGCAAATATCAAGATGCTCTGTCGGGCTGGGACGTGGGGAGCCTTTGAGATTGTATATTTAACTAGGGCTGTGCATAACCCGTCCAACCTGTCCGACCCGCGCCCCGTCGTTGTTCTCGGAGCGGATAACCAAAACCGAATAGCAACCCGACGCCCTTTGTTTGGAATTTCCGATTTAATATGTAATCAGTTAGGGTTGGCTAAAAAGCAACTTGATCCGTCCGAAAACCCAAAACTATATATATATATATATATATATATATATATATGGATAATACGACGTCGTGTGGGGATTATATATATATGCCTTATACACGCTAGGGTTTGCTTAGGGCTTCATTTCTCAGCTGCGCAGCTTCTACTTCTCTCTCACTCTCTGTCTCTCTCACTCTCTGAGACTCAGAGTCTCAGAGACGCAGACTCTTCACTCTCTTATCTTCTCTAAGACTCTAAGTTTCTCGACTAGTCTTAGTCTCTCAAAGGCTTCGAGGGTTCTGTAGTTCACTCGTTTTGCACAGCCCTACTCTTGAGCCGTGGTGGAAGCCTCAACTCTCAAGCCAGCGAAGCCTTGGTGGAAGCCCCTGTGTCCAGACGTCCAGTGTCCCTGTGTGGCTGTGTTGATTGCTTGAAGAGTGAAGTTGAAGACCTAGTTCTCTGGGAAAGTATTGGAGAAAACAAGTAATCGAAAACATGTTTTTAATACTGTTTTTTTAGGGTTCTTGTGTAAGTTGTGTTATTTATGATTGATACTTGGATAGTTTGTGGGGTTTCTGTATATTCTGATTATTTGCATTATTCTGCGATTTGTGATGAAGTTGTGACTTTGTGAGCCCTAATTTGTACGTGAGTCAGTGAGTCACTGGCTCACTAAGCCCTAATTTTTGGGGCTTTCCATATAAATGATGAATTTGTCAAATTCCTGATATATGGTTTCATGTTTATGGTAATAGGACCCTTAACTTTGTACAAACTGTATATATGTAATTATGTTACATATTGTAGTGGTGGAAGCCTAAATTTGATTAATGTGATTATGGATTTTATGAATTATGAGATTGAATTGTATTGTGTATTTGTGTTGATTGTATGAGCAGTTGAGCACAAAGCCCTAAACCTCCTAAGTCCTAAGGCAGTAAGGTTTGGGCAATTCCATTTAGATGATGATTTGAAAAATGCAAATCTGATTTATGGATTTAATGGTGGAAGTGTAATATGTAATCTGCTAATCTGCTTGACTATGTTAAATACTTCTATGTATGGTGGAAGCTTTAATCTAAAATATGTTGTAATCTGTTGCCTGTTTATGATTTGTAATCTCAAATCTGTTTGGTTGTCTGCTTTATTTGGATATATTTGTTTACTGATGCCCATCTTTATAGATGGAAAGCATCAGTGCATCTGGACACCCTCCAACCTCAACTGAAGAGGAGCATGGAGTAGATGATGATTTGAAAAATGCAAATCTGATTTATGGATTTAATGGTGGAAGTGTAATATGTAATCTGCTAATCTGCTTGACTATGTTAAATACTTCTATGTATGGTGGAAGCTTTAATCTAAAATATGTTGTAATCTGTTACCTGTTTATGATTTGTAATCTCAAATCTGTTTGGTTGTCTGCTTTATTTGGATATATTTGTTTACTGATGCCCATCTTTATAGATGGAAAGCATCAGTGCATCTGGACACCCTCCAACCTCAATTGAAGAGGAGCATGGAGTAGAAGCTCCAGGTACTGAGAGAAATCCTTAGACAAATCCTATGCCTTCTCCTCCTGTTGTTCCTACAAAGAAGAGGAAAGAGGTGGAGTCTAGATCATTTTGAAAAGATCCATGATCCTGTAGGTGATCCTAAGGAACCAGTAGTTAAGGGAAAATGCCTTTATTGTGCAAAAATTTATAAATGTGAAAGTAAAAAGCATGGCACTTCCTCATTGAAAAACCATATGGTGGCCTGCCTCAAAAATCCTCATTCTAAGGATACAAGGTAGTCTCTTCTCACCTTTAATGATGTTTATACCTCTGGAACAGAAGCTTCTGAGGGGGTTTTAGGGACTTGGGTTTTCAACCAAGAGGCTATTAGGAGGGCATTGTGTGAGATGATCATTGTTGATGAACTTCCCTTTAGGATTGTTGAGGGAAATGGCTTTAGGAAATTCATTTTAATTAGTTGCTTGTCCTAGGTTTCAAATCCCTTCTAGGTGGACCATTTCTAGAGACATTTACCAGATTTACCTAGATGAGAGACTAAGCCTAAAAAAGTTGTTTAGGGTGAGCACCCAAAGGGTCAGCTTGACCACTGATACATGGACCTCTGTCCAAAGGATAAATTACATGTGCATTACTGCACATTTCATTGATGATCAGTGGAATCTTAACAAAAAGATCATTTCCTTTGTCCTAATTTCTTCTCATAAGGGAGAGTACATAGCCAAAGCCCTTGAGAGTTGTCTTCTTGATTGGGGGATAAAAAATGTCTTCACTGTTACTGTTGATAATGCCTCTTCAAATGACACAGCTTTGGGGTTTTTCAAGAACAAACTTCTGTCTTGGGGTGGGTCTTCTGTTAGGGTTCAATATATGCACATGAGGTGCATAGCCCATGTGTTGAACTTAGTGGTCCAGGATGGGTTGAGATATGCAGGTCCTTCTGTTAAGAAAGTTAGAGATGTTGTGAGATGGGTGAGGAGTTCTCCTGCAAGACTCAATAAGTTTAGAGAGCTTGCTGTGCTTAATGGGGTGAAAGCCAAATGTGCATTACAACTTGATGTTCCAACAAGATGGAACAACACATACATGATGCTCAACACTGCCCTTCAATACCAGAGGGCCTTTGAAGCTTATGAGAATGATTCCTCAATGACTACTGACTTATCTGATTCTGTTCCAAATTTTATGGATTGGCTTTCTGTGCAAAGCTTAGTCCATTTTATGAAAGGCTTCTATGAGATGACTGTAAGAATATCTGGTTCTCTCTATGTCACTTCAAATACTTTCTTTTCTGAGATTTCTGACTTAGGTTGCATGCTGGATGACATGGTTAACTCTGTTTCAACCTCTGAAAAGGTAAATTGTAAACATTTTGTGAATGTGTTTGTATGAATCTGTGAATTGTGTTTGACTTTGATTTTATTTTTCTGTGTTATGTCTGTTTTTTTAGGAAATGGGGTCCCATATGAAACAAAAATTTGAAAAATATTGGGGAGATCCTGAAAAAATGAACTTCTTGATATTCTATGCCACTATTTTGGATCCTAGGGATAAGATTGAGTACATGCCTGCCCAATTTGCCCAGTTATATGGTGATGATAAAGGAAAATCATGCTTTGAAAAGGTTCAATCTTCTATGGTTGTGCTGTTTAATGATTATATAGCCACCTACCATGTGCAGTCTGCATCCCCTACTGTGCAATCTATGCAATCTGAACCTGTCCGTTCTCAAACTTCAGTTGGAAAACCTTAGGCTAGAATGAAAAGCCAGCTAAAAAAACAGAGAATGGAGACTGGTAGAAGGAGTAAAGAAACTGAACTCCAAATTTATCTAAGTGAAAAATTAGTGGAAGATGAAGAAAATGTGGACTTTGATATGCTAAGATGGAGGAAGGTTAACAGTGATAGATTTCCTATACTCTCTAAAATGGCAAGGGATGTGCTGGCTATTCCCATTTCAATTGTTGCCTCTGAGAGTGCATTCAGTACTAGTGGTAGGGTATTAGATGCCTTTAGGAGTTCCTTAACTCCTAAATTGTTGAAGCCCTAGTCTGTGCACAAGATTGGTTGAGGGCACCCAATCATCCAATCTCTGTTGAGGAAAACTTGGATGATGTTGAAAGATTAGAGAAGGGTACTCTTTTTATTTTCTAACTTTCTAGGTTTCAACTTTATAAATTGTTAATTATTACAGTTTTTAAACTCTTTTTTGTTTTTTCTTTTTGTGCAGAATTGTCCACTGGAGCTGCCGGTTCTTCACAAAGTACTGTTGGAACACTCCCAACAATTGCTGTAATACTTTTATAATTTATTAGTTTATATAACACTCCTTTCTGTTTAGTTTGATTGCTAAATGTGTGGACTCTTTGAGGCAACTCAGGTAAGATTCCAGAACTGCTAATTGCTAAGTGGCTTGGTAACTTTTTTATAAATGTTGCTGTCCTTACTCAGTTAGATCTCTGGTATTATGCCTTCTCTGGAATTCTGGATTTCTGGTATATCACTTCCCTTCCTCTCATAGTCTCCTTTCTGTTTAGTTTGTGTTTATTATGGCTATGATGATGCTTTCACCATTTGTCTGAATTAAAAGGACTTTGGGTGTTTGGTATGTTGCTCTGAGACAAAACTCATTAAGCAATTTGCCCGCAACTCTAAAATGATATGAAAAAAAGCAATCTGAGCCTTTTATTATTATTATTATTATTATTATTATTATTATTATTATTATTATTATTATTTATTATCTTGAGTTGATATGTCATATGTAGACATGTAGTTCTCTTTGTCTTTATTGGCTTTAAGCCTTTAATGGTTTAATAATTGAGCAGGAAGAGGAGGAATGGATGAATGTTGAATGCTGACGGCTGATTGGTGATTGCTGACTAATGCTGATTGTTGAGTACTTGAGTGTTGTAAAGTGTAAACCAGTAATAGTGTAATTTGCTTATTGCTGATTTGAGAATTGTTGATTTTGTGAACTTCAATTTTGCTTTTTGAACACTTCACAGTTCATAGTTGGACAGTTGGACTTGGTCAGTTTGAACTTTGAACTTTTGTGAATTGTAATTGCAATTTGCAAATTGCAATATGTAGCTAAATGCCTAAATAGTAAATAGCTTTGGTAATTTAGTTTTAAGTTATTAAGTTTCAACTTTCAACAGTTTTTTTTTTTTTTTTTTTTTTGTATGTTGTATAATCCGAATTGAAACCGAAAACCGACCCCCACCCGACCCTATCTGAACTGGGGAAATCCGAAAGGATTTTGTAATAAATTCGAACAGATTGGGGTAGTTTTTTCCAACCCGAAATCCGGACGGGTGGGCGGTTCCAAAAACCGAACCGCCCGAACCTGTCCGATGCACAACCCTGTATTTAACCTTAATTTGGGAACAATAAATCGTATGTTCTCTGATTCTGTGTATATTTATCACAATTAACAGTCTTCAATTCAACTTTAAAACAACAGTACATCTATTACATAATAATATTCTAAAATATCAACAACACCAACTATTGTACACACCAATTAATTAAGCTAACAACACATTTGAAAAAATAAAAATAAAAATAAAAGCTTACTTATTATGAAAGTATAAATCACTACTGGAAATTATGAAATTTCCGACCACCTGAAAATGATCTTAAATCAAGTCAAAAGTCTTGTTCCGACCACTTTTGGTATCCGAAAAAACCTTTATTGCTATTTCCGACCACTTTTTAATATCAACTTGATTTAAGATCACTTTCAAGTGGTCGGAAATTCCATAATTTCCACTAGTGAATGGAGCACAACATCCAGCTCAATAACCACAGTTTGATGTGATGCTAAAACCTCTGGGAAACCCACCAACTGAAAAATGGCACATCACCATTTATGTATGGGTTAGAAATTAATCGTGGAAATTGATATACATTTGATTTAAATTTAAGAAAATTAAGGATTAAAAAAATTAAAATCTTAATTTTTGTTGTAAAATCTAATTATGGACATTATTCTATCATTAATGATATAATTGGTAACGGCTTTATATTTATGGTATGATCTTGTAATAGCTGTTATATATATTGATGTAGTGATGTACAGAGATGGATAAATTGAATAAGAAATCTCTTCCTCTGTTCTTTATTTTCTTTTTCCTGTTTTTACTGTTTTTCGCGAGCTAAAGACCTGCAGACAAATCTGCATTACAACACGTTATCAGTACTTTGCTCTACATCCTTGGCAAACCAATTGCGATCACGTTTTGGCTTCAAACCCATATACGAATGAATAGTTTAAGATCGATGATGATTAAATGAGCAGAACACATCCGGCGAAGAGTGAGTAGCCGCCCCCACCGAATTCAGTTAGGCCATTGAAGAGCTAAGCGTTCTTCAGGTCATGACCGGAGACGAGGGAGATGTTCGGCGGAAAGCGGCAGCGGCACATTGACTCCCGGAGAATCCGGAGACCTCCGTTCGTCGATCTGTCCAGCGGCGGACGTTTTCAACCCGTCCCCAACGCCAGCCAAGCCATCCGATCCTCCATGAAATGGCTGAGCCGCCGGTAAAGCCTCCATCACCAACGCCGGCCAAGCCATTGGTTCGTATTGTTCGCCTCAGCCATCCCAAGATGTAGGCGATCCAGATCAGACCAGATCGACGGCCTTCGATCCAGTAGCATTTCGCCTCAACCGCACACCGATCCATCTTCGCGCCCATCACCGATTGGAAATCCAGAGACCTGCCGCGGTGGAGACTTCTCGCAAAACTTCTCAATCTTCGTCGGCGGCCTGTTTGCCGGCAATCCAGTCGGTTGATCGAAGATTGCATGGTACAGTTGGGCTCGTCTCATCTCGGCGGTCCTTGGCTGATGGTCAGATCGCTGATCAGCTGCCGGCGGACTCCCCTAGTTTGTTTGCGCAAACGGAGATTTTCCGGCCTATGGAAGCGATGGACAAAGAGATGGATGGTGGCAGGGTTGCCGTCGTTGCAGGTAGCGGTGCGCTTCTGCCGGTTAATGATTGTTCTCCATGGCATGTGGACCTGCGAGACAGTCTTGTTGGATAACACTGAGACTGGCAGTACGTGAAGTTATTGCATCTTCAAGGTCTCCTCGGTTTTGGCTTGGCCAAGTGATGGACGGGCAACAAGTTGGTGGTTCTGTGCTGCCGGTAGTGAATCCGGCGAACTCCATGCGTCTGTTCAGACTAGTAGTCTGGTTGTTCGGAGAAGAAATCATAAACGCTACAGGCATAAGGGTGTTTTGAACGTGGCTGTGAACCATGTGAGTACATCGTCAGGTCAAGGTAACTTCCTTATTTCAAAACCCTTTCTACCCTTCAGACCCCATTCTCAATCCCATGTTTTAACGATTCCATACAAGTGGCAACCTCACAACCTAAGTTGCAACCTCGAAAACTTGATCCTAATTCCTGAATTCACCGTGTCCTCAAGTTTGAAAGCCACTCTCTTAGCCCTATAAAACCTAATCGCTCCCAAAAACCCAACACACATAGGCGTGCAAGTATACAATTTCCCCGTGGAATACCTTCTCTATAGGACCACGGTTCTTCTCTTGACTCGTTAACCCTGCAATGATTTCCAAGCTTCGGGGACGAAGCTTCTCGTAAGGGGGGGAGAGTGTAACACCCCGTGTTACGGCCTTCAATCCCGGATTAATTATTAAATTAATCCCGTTAATAATAATTAAATATGATTTAATTCGGTTAGGTTTCCTTTAATTAATTAATAAAGGTCCACCATGAACCGTGGACCCTTGCCTAAATAAGAGTCCTAAGCCTATTAGGAATAAAGAAAGTAAACCCTTTACTATTCAGATTCTAATTAGGAATCCTAGACCTAGTTTTCTATTAGGAATAAAGGAAGTAGGCCTTTTACTATTCAGACTACGATTAGGAATCCCTTTAATTAATTAATATGGTCCACTATGGACCATGGACCCTTATCCCTAAACCCAATCCTTTTGGAACCCAATCCTTAGTTCCAAAAGGAATAGAATTAGCAAGCCTATAATATTAGTTCCTAACCAGGACTCCTAAATATATAAATAGGGGACTTAAGAGGCACCTAGAACCCCCACCACAATAAACGTTCCACCACCCCAAAGTGCTCCAAGAATCCCCTTAGAAGAAATCAAGAAAGCAAGAAAGCTTAAAGAAAGACCCTTCATAGCCAAGGAATTAATTAAGGCTAAGAGGTAACCCATGTCTCAACAAAACCTATTTTCATAGCTATGATTCCCCCTTAGGGTTTCCCCCATATTATTGCGTATTGGCGAGACATGATGATTATTATTCATGTTTGATGTGATGATTCCATGAGGGATCTTGATGATCTTGATATTGGGAGATTCTTGATGATTAAGGAATTCTTGATGATTATATAGAGTTCTTGATGACTATGTGTCGTTCTTGATAATTGTGTAATGCTCTTGATGTTTATGTGTTATTCTTACCGAATCTTGTAATTAGAAGACGAACCGTATTCTTGTTGATATAAAAGTGATTAGAACCCTAGGTTGTATCGTATGATCTTATTCTTGGATTATCGAGTGGGGAAATCGCATGTTTGGGTGTTGATTATATTTCGAAAAGCATGATAGGTTATGTGCCGTTCGTTTCTTGTATTCGATTCGTTAATTGTCTACGTGTTGTCGTTAATTGCGTTGTAAAGTGTCTAAGCATGGTTTCGGGTTCCACAACGGTTCCCGGGGCGTAAAGTGTGTGAAAAGAGTCAGTGGGGGGTAGGGGACCCGCCACCTACCCGGTGCCGAGAAACACCGCCCGGCAGCGGGTGGTCGGCGGGCCGGCAGCTGCCCGCCGGCGACCCGCTGCTCGGAACAGTAAAACCGGCGGGCAGCCGGCGGGTGGCCCCCCACCCACCGGCTACCCACGGGAAATTCGTCCCACCCGGGACCCCGGCTTCCCCGTTTGACGTTCCCCGTTCCCCGTGGTGTCCCAACGGACTCCGTTTATCGTGCCTATGTCTAGTTTGATGTTTCGGGTACCGTTCGTAGGTTTATGAGTCTGTTATATTGCATGCTAGTTGAATTGGTATCCCGTTGACCTAGGTGGAAGAAGTATGAACCCCTTAGGACCATTCTTAGTATGTGAAGGATCACGCATAGGTTTTGTTATACGTTTTCTCCCCCTTCCTAATGTGTAATGTGGGTTGCATGTGCTTGCTATGTGTTATGTGTGTGTTACCCCAATTCGGTTGCGATCGGATTGGTTATCCTGAGCTGCGGTTCAGAAGCTGGCTGCGGTCAGATTGATACTCTTGGGCTGCGGTCCACCGTTTGGTTGCGATCAAACGTTTCTATACGAGCTGCGGTTCGTCCTTTTTCCTGGCTGCGGTCAGATGACATTCTCTTGGGCTGCGGTCCACTATTTGGTTGCGATCAAACACTATGATGAGCTGCGGTTCATCGGTCGGTTACGATCAACCCCTCCGTGTTGCGATACGGGGCAGGGTGCTGCGGGGCCGTGTCAGAGCTATATGCGCTGACCCTCATGTATGGGCATGCGATTGGTCCTGTGGCGCCAACAAAGTGTGTTATTTGTTGTGACATGGACGAGTTGTGATTACGAGTGTCTTGAGGGATGTAACTATGGGATTTATATTTAGGATTGTTCATTTTGGGTTATGATCATTGTTTATGCCTTGCCTTATCTGCCTTATGTGTTGTGAACTGCATATGCTCGTTATAACTGTTGCTTGCGTCTGGCCTTATCTGTCGAGTCATTCTCGGTTTTTAAAGCTAGAGTTCGTAGGATATATCTTCATGCTCAAAATGGTTTTCGTATATCTATATATATCTCTATATGTATTGTATTTCAACGCGTTGGAGTGGGTTACCAGCATCTCTCGCTGAACAGATATATTTGGCTTTTAGGCACAGGAGATTAAGTCACTGGAGTGCGCTAGAACTTAGAAGTAGATAGTTTCCCTTTTGGCCTGCGTGCCACGTTTACGTATTTACGCTTTGAGGATATTAGTTAGTTAGCCTGTGCACTTGGGTTATCTAGCCCAGGTGTGGCATAGCACCCCGAACGCTTGTATTTATATCTTGGGATTTAATAAGATTCTACCTTTATTATAAGTTTTAAAAGTCTTGAAAATCTGGGGTGTTACAGTTGGTATCAGAGCTTAAGTTTGACCCTAGGATAAGACTCTTAAGACCGGACTTTAGGACAATAGGCTTGAACTCTAGGTACTTAGGAACATAGGATCCAGGAATCTTAGGACGCGCAGTGAGATTGTGAAACCTACACATAACCTCCCCTCACTTCATCCCTCTCTAACTTAAAGGAACCTCCCCTTACGCTTACCACACCAGGTAAGGGTGCGAATAGATAAGTTTACTTCCACAACTGGGTAACGTACACTTACCCGATAAATCGCCTCGTCCTAACTCCCGTCAAAAGACTTGACAAGGACCCTGACCAAAGAAAAGGAAGATTTGGATGACTACTAAGAATAGGCGTTACAGTCAGGACTGCTAAAAGGGACGGACTGCAATACGCACCAACCTAGGGTAACCACGATAACCCCCGAGTCAGACAAATGACATGCACCTTCCGACAAGTTGCCTTATCTCGGCAAACCCGGGTTGCGGCTACAACAAACAGGAAGGAGAACTAGGACACCTATTAAAGTAGCGAAGGAACGACACCATTAGTCGAATCCTTGGGTGCAAGGTAAGTATATCGCGACACCTTGCGACCCCACCACCCCAATTTAAAATATCATCCACCCTGAAACCCAGCATCTTGATACCCCTATTTGTTGAAAACTCCCACCCCGAATCCTTAATTACCTTAAGAGCAAATTCGCAACCGTCATGACCTTGCTCACCCTTTGTTGCGCTTAAACCAAACCCTCGGAAACCCTAAATTGTTATTGCCCTTACTCTAAGTTCACATCCCCACTCCGTTTGGAAATCCTGTTAAAAACCGTAGAGCAGCATAAGGCCCTTACCCTGCCCAGGGGCGTGAAGAACCGACATTCATTGATTCAATATTAAAATAAGTTGTTAGATAGGAATCGGCGAAGTAGGTGGAGGTTACAAATACGTATCACCCCACCCTTGCACGAAAACCGTGAAGGCTTCACGAGGAACCATAGCCTGTACGTACGCCACCGAAGAACGCCATGCGTTGACAAGAGCGGGCAAACAAATACGTTCAATGTGTCAGGGGCCCTCGCTACAGAAAACATCGTCAAATAGGTGCAACAGGCCGAACCTCGAGGAGGACATAAATCCTTGCTAAGAATTTCATCCACCAAGGAAGGGATGAAACCCAATAGAACAAGAAAGACTAACCCGAAACCCCCCTTACCCTTAAGAACCCTCGGCAAGGATTAGGAGTCAAGACCTAGGGGTTTGACCCACTAAACCGACTGGGTCCAGACTTCTGGACATTCGAGGGAACGTGCACGGAAACCATCACGAGAATTCCCCTGGAAGCCATAGAAACGAAGGGGACTTTGACACGGGAAGAGAAGATCAAACGAAAATCTTAAAATCAAACAAAGCCAAGGAAAAGGGATCACCAGTTCGACTGCACGCCACAACCAAGCCCCAAACTGGCATAATCACTCGAAGCCAAGAGTCCTTAGCCCTTTCCCTCCCCTTGCCAATCAAGTACCATTTCGTTAAAGAATCCGTCCTATCACTCCAAACCTCGCTCTTGATCCCTCATTACAAACGAACCCGTACAAGGTGGCAACCTTCCTTCCTGTATTACGACCTTGAGACATCAACCCTATCCGCCCCTCGACTTTGAAACCTAGCCCTTGCACTCGTTACACCCCTTTAAACCCAGACCAAGAAAACATAGATATATATATGTATGTATATCTACCTCTAGAACTTGTGCTTAAGGATCAATGAACATTGTACGATGGGTCATCCTATGTATCCAAGTCCCTTTTATTGTGCACAAGGGCATGGGACTTGTCAGGACATGAATCTGTGCATTTTTGGGGTCTTTCCCGAAGGAATTGACTATTCCTAGTCACTTTCCCGCGGGTCCCCAACGGGACCTTGGCGGGTCCTTGGCAGGAGCTTGGCAGGCGGACGACCGCCCACCTCGCGCCCACTGGTACAATGTGCTGATTTCTTAACCCCTCATTT